GACAACTCAGATTCAGGCTGGACATCAGGAAAAGCTTCCTCACTGTCAGAACAATAGGACAGTGGAACCAGCTGCCTAGAGAGGTGGTGGTCTCCCCCCCACTAGAGACATTTTTGAAACATTCAGAAATGAACCTGGACAGCCATCTGAGTGCAAACAGTGTCCTGCAACAGCAGGGGTTAGACCCAATGGCCCTCATGTCCCCTTCCAACTCTACTATTCTATGATTCTATACTGTGCTAGAGAACATAATTACAGACCAATACACTTAGTGAGGGAGTGAAATTCTCCAAAATATAAAAAGTAAAAGGAGTCAGGGAATTGAACAGTGGGTTTCTTCATAGACTTTTGCAACAGGAGCCTGCATAATACCTATGTAGAAATGGGTGAATCTACCCATTTTGGTTTTCCTCAGTTTCTCATTTTTCCAGTTCGAAGCTCCATCTGTCTAATCTTGATGGGAAAACGTGCATTCAAATCTGCATGCATTTCTGTGCACACGTCATCTCCTGCATGGATTGTGCACACGTTTGTCCAATGTACACATTTTTGTGAGGCATTTTCTTAATGGGATGCATTGTAGACCATCATTTTCACAGATATATGCATGTTGCTGTACACGTCTCCCTAATATAGGCATCTTTGTTCACAGTTTTGATTGGTGAGCTCAACTGTTCTGTGGACCACCTGGAGAGTTCAGGTTATTGGATGGTATTAAAATGTGCTTTCTGCTTCACGGGTTAACTGCACTGTAATTTACACATAAGAATTTGTACAGAATTCCTTCTAGGACATTGTCACAGTCTAAAAAGTCCTCCAAAGTTCCCAAATCCTCATGTCTTTTATGTTTCTTTTTTCCTTAAACCATGTCCAAGACTCAAAGCCCCTGCCCCCAAAAAAATCTCCTTAAAATTGTTTTAGGAGGACATTTAGGCCCTAAACAAAAAAATAAGTAGAGATAATCTTAGTCTCTTTTGAAAGCTAAGTTTCTGAGCTAAAACCTCCAAAACACAGAATTAAAATGAATTGAGGAATAGCATTTCAATTTAAAAAAAATGCAGGCTGAACTATTGTTATGCAGAGAAAAGGTCACTAGATTAAGCATTGTTATGCATATTTGATTGGTTTTCATAGCTTCAGGAAAGAATAAACCCTTGTACTTGCTGAGAACTGAAATCCATTCTTGAATGAAACCTCCAGGAGGAAACATTCCCCTAGAACAAAGGCCTTTCATGTTCAGTATTGAATGAGACACTTTTTTCTGGGGCAAAAAATTACCCCATGTACAACTAATGCTAGTTTTTTGTTGATGAAGGTGGAAGATGAAATGAAATGAGATGAAATGAATGAATGCCAAACTCAAAGAAGTGTGAATGCTGAAGTACAGCTGAACATTTTTTTCCCTCTCATTTCTGCGTGGAAAATACTGTCATGAGCTTAAAGTCTCTTCATCATGTTTATCCCTGGGAAAAGTAATTAGAAACAAAACAAAATAATTAATCACAACAGATAAATCCATCTGTCTGTCTGTCTGTCATCCTATCTAGCTATCTATCTATCCATCCTAATTATAACAAGTAGGTGTTTATGGGCAGAACGTCATGGGAACAGATGCAACAGGAAAGCTCTTCATAGTGATATTTCCCTTTATTGGTCAGTTCTTCAGTGTCTCAAGCTTTGGAAATGACCAAATAGCCCTTAATAAACAGGAGTGTGACATTGCTCAGCCAACTGCCTCCTAAAAATATCAGCTTGGTTGGCTGATGTGGTGGCATTACCTTGGGACACGATATAAAATGAGCCAGTGGCACCCTTCTGGGTGGTTATTTCCTCTGGAAAGAGATAAGCAAGTTGAGAGATCAAGTCTGCATGTGCAGTGTAGCTGGAGAGCCTCTTTGCTTCTTCATGCTGGTGTAGAAAATTCAGCACCCACGACCCCAGCAGGTCTATTTTGTGATTCAGCTTTGACAGTGCTCTGCCCGTGCTGGTGAAGCGAGAATGGGAGTCAATGAAGTCTGATGTTTTCAAAATACCTGCATGAATGCTACCAGCTTGAGGTCTGACAGATCTGAAACCCTGTTAACATTTGTGCCATGAGCACAGGCACAGAAGAAATAATGGGTGCTGATGGGTAGGAGTGCAATGCATGCTGGGGATGCTCCTTTATCACCTGAACACCTCTGATTTACAGGTGAGTTGAGTTTGATGGGAATACTGACCCACAGCTGTTGGACTGGTTTTCCAGAGCAGGCTCCTTTCATGAATATCTTCAAGAAAGTGAGTAGCAGAGTCATGACAATGTTGTAACAGACTTCCAGATATCGGAAAACCACAAACATGCCTCCCATATTTTTTTTCTTCGCCGGCCCGATTGTACCCAACTCCTTCAATGATTCCTCCTTCAAATATTCCTCATTGCCTTCCAGACTCAGTGGAGATCATTATCATTGTTATTACTACGTTGCATTCATATCCTGCCTTTTTTCCCTACCAGTGAGGTACCCCTATTGACCGTGCCAGTTTTAGTGCCCCCTTCCATGGGAAGGTGGTAATTTGGGATAAAAGTAGATGGAGGAAATCCTCCTTTCCTGAAGGGTCACTGTCGAAATACGAATCAGAGCTTCATGCACTTGTATAAGCAGCCTGCATAGCTCCATCACATCTGCTCAGAAGTGCAATCCCCATGGCAGGTGGGCAAACTTATTTGTATTCAGTGGCAGGACTGAGGCCAGCTGACCCTCACCCCCTGCCTTTCCCTTAGATGGCCACGTTGGGATCCAGATTTAACACGGAAAGGAGAGGGAAGGAGGCTGGTGTGCCCATTGAATCAGCATAATTCCGCAATGCCAAGCCCTCCTCTACCAGCAGGAAAACTCTTTTCTCCCCTTCCATAACTGCAACCTTGGGGAGGGAGCAGCCAGTGTGGTTGTTTCCACACCAGCTGTGAGGGAGGAAGGGAAGGTGTTCAGCCTTTGGAGTAGGGGGGCATAGGACATGGGACTGTGAATTATCCTATGGCCTCCAGATGATGTTGGGAAGCCAAAGGATTGCACCCTAAAGGAATTTGGTCTGGCCCTGATTTGTTTACATTCCAGGGTTATTTCATGCACGCAAAGTTCCAGTTCTTTTGATCTGCCATCAATCCATCTGAAGAAATGTACAATGTCATGGATCTTTTCTTTTTGTAAAAGATAGTCTTGGTCTAGCTTTCATAACAAACCATCAAAATGAATGAATGAAAGAAAGGAGGTTCACTGTTCCCAATAAAGATTTCTTTTTTTACTGTACATTTTGTAGCAAAAGAAGTGGGGGGAAAGAAAATATTTTGATCACAAGGATGTAATTTTCTAAAACTTCAAATAGGAAACATGACAAATAACAAGGTCAAATACACAGCCATGTCACAATATATCTCTGAGCTTTTTTCTTAAAAAAATAACAATACATAGAGATTGTGTGTGTGTGTGTGTGTGTGTACTTCTGCACTTAGTAATCTTCATCTGCACACCCCTTTGAAGGAGAAATAAGGTGCAACTTCAGAGATTCCTGGTGGACAGATTCTTGGGAGCAAATAAGTACAGGAAACAAATATGATTTAAAGGCAGCTGCTCTCACTGCTGTAAACGCTGAAAAATTCACAGTTGTCATGGCAGAGTGAAGGGGAGAGCAGGACACTTGCATCCACACCCTTCCTAGGCCTGTGGCAATATTCTCACCAATGCCGTTGACAATCAGTTTACAACCTATAATGGATGGCCACTTATGAGCGAGGAGCTTGGTAAGAGAAAGTGGGAACTGAAAGCAGAAGGAGAAGAGCCCAGAGAGTTGGACCAAGGATCCTGCTTATTTCCCATTGCATCTAGCTTTCCATTAGTCAGGTGAAACATCTCCATCAGCAGAGATTCAGGGACGTCAGATCTCACACCCTTGTTCTGGATGACATTATATCCTATGGTCCTGAGTGACCCCAAGAACCTCATGGTCAGTGTTTTTCTGTCTTCACAACAGTGTGTGAGTGTGTGTCTTCCTCACCTGGCTAGACAAACAGTGAATGTACGACTTTGGCCAGAAACAATTTGTGAAGAGATTGCTAGAACAGCTTTCTCCCCCCACCCCACCTCTGATTATGAAAATATAATTTCTCCCTCGCTCCCACCTCTAACAGCAAACTACCTCATTCTGTTTACCAATAATCTGTGGGGATCTGCTTTATGAACTGAGAAACAGCAAAACATCAAGAGGCAGGTGTGTGTGTGGGAAATAATAACAAGGCCCTAATTCCCACCAACCCCACTGGGGATGAAGAAGGGGGCAGGAGGAGAGGAGGAAGGGGAGGAGGGGAGGTGCTGTGCAGCTTACCCGGTAATTGGACTTCTTAAAAATATTCCCAACAGCTGCCGAAAGTGTTTCATTAGGGAAATAACTAATCAAGGAAGGCAGAAATACCCAAAGCAAAACCCAGAAACCCTTTTTATTCCTGGGAGAAAAACAACAACAAGAGAATCTCCACAGGTTATTGATGCCGTTAGGTGATTTCACCAGGAAGAAGCTTGGAGTGCACAGGCTCATTTTGTCCAGATGTTGCCTCCATGGGTTGCAGCTTGCTCTCCTGTCAGCCTGAATTCCACGGGAGTGTTCTTCTCAGACAATGAGAAAATGAAGAGGGAGGGCATTTCTCTTTGAGTTAAATACGCATCACTTAACCTGTGTTAATCCTCGTTTAATCATGTTTGACAGTTCACCAGGAGATGCGGTTTCCTTGAGACATTCATACATACATAACACTTGTGTTGGGGGAATCTCATCAGCTCCTCACACTACCTATTGATACGTCGTCCCCCTCTCCTATCCCACTTTTTAAAAAAATCTTAATATTTACTGACCAGTAGTCTGTGTATGTGTCTCTGCGTTTTCTCCCATTATACTTATGGCCTTTTCAACAATCATGGACTTTATTATTATGCTTGAAGGGCGTAAGAATGGAACGGGTGGGTTCCTATTTACACTGTGCTTTCCATAACCCACTCTGAGCTCCCATATGTCCCCTTTGCCCCTGCCAGGTCACTGTCATCGTACTGCAAAAGCATCCCGTTCACTGACAGACTACGCTTTGTCCAAATGTTTGTGATCTTTTTGGGGTAGTTGCAACACTGAGAGGTGGAAAAGTCCCCCATGTCAAAAGAATGGCTACGTTTAGTTTTCCCCTCCAGTGGTAACATGAGGAGACTACGGAATTTAGATTCCTGCTGGCCCAGCAGTGGCTCTTTGTCTGAGTGATGGGCCACTGTGGAAGTTCTGGAGTCTAGTGTGTCCTCCTTTTTCTGGCACTTCAGTTCCAGAGAGGCAAAAGCTCCCATTAGCCGATCAATGTTGTTGTGCTTTGACTTTGACGGGGGCCTCCACTTACTGGACAATGTGCCCTGCTCACTTTGGAGGCTATAGCCATCACAGTCGCGACTATTCACAGAGCTGGAAGAAGAGGAGATGCTGCTCTGTGCAGACGCGCAGTTGAACTCCATGAGCTCATTTCTGACCACCACTTTGGGGTTGACTTGGGGCAGGACCCCATTCTGAACAGGCTGGGATCCGTTGGTTTGCGAGTAGACGTTGCTCACGTTGGCCATCTTCCCGGGGGCATTGTTGCAAACCTTGTACCGGACCATGAGTATGACGATGAACACCAGCAGGGTCGCCACAATGATGCCTCCAATGATCAGGATCATCGTCCCTCCCAGGAACTGGCTGTGCATAGACTGGCACTGAGGGTAGTCCTCTTTGGTGTAGAACTGGGCACAGCCCACAATGTTGGTGGCAGTGAGCGTGGTGGCCGTGTCGTCCCACATGGCGAGGACGCAAAGGTCGTAGCCTGTCCCAGAAACGAGGTTGTTCACGACAAAAGCCTTGTTCGTAGCAGGGATCATCCTTTAAGGAAGAGAAAGGGGCACAATCAGATTAAAATATATGTAAAAGAGCAGGAAGGACACATGGGCAAGCACAGTGCAGGTACACAATTTCACGAGCCAATTTTAACAGAACGTGGAGGTCTGGCTATTCCAGCTTCACTGCTAGGATTCAGTTCCCTTGGAGGCAAATTATAGATCAGCAAGGCTGTGGTCAAAGCAGTGGAAGCTCAATTGGAAGAGCTTACTCCTCTTTCTGGATCTAACTTATTTACTGAGATAATTCTAACTCTGCCGGCTTCTGCAGGGGATGTGGCTGTCAATGACTACTAGTCGCAAGGGCTGTAATGCCCTCCAGTGTCTGCTCTAAGTCGGAGCTTGCTGCATCAAGGACGGCTTTCATCCCCGCAGGTCTGACTGTGCATGGAACCAATGCCCGAGGCTGTGCCCTAAGGAAATCAAATTATCACGAAGGAAATCAAATTATTCTTTGATGGGCATGACACATCCTCTGTGGTGGCACCACATTTGTGGAATTCACTCTATGCCCCAAGCCCAGTGTCCTGTGATTCCATGATTATTAGATTAAAAACTCCCTTTCCCACCCCCAGATTGAAAACTGATTTATTTCGGTCACTACCCTGAGGATTCTTAGTACTGCACATTTTAGGGCTGAAGAGAAAAGGGCACAATCAGATTAAAATATATGTGCATTTAATTTTTATACTTGCTTTCAGTCTTTCTTTTTTGGAAGGGATCCAAGGATCCTCCTCTCTATTTCATATTCAGAACAGCCGTTTGAGGGAGGGTAGGCTGAGTCTTGCCTGGCTCAAAGTCACCCACCGAGCTTCATGGCCTTTCAGGGACAAGAACCCAGATCCCCAAGCCCTTGCCCAACACTCCAACCCTTACACCATGCTGCCTCTACACCACATTGGCTCTCTTGCAGATGTGCACCACTTGTGATGGTCTCCTCATAAGTCAACAAGCGAGTAAATAGTCACAATGGTTGTAAACTATCTCTGCAATTTGTGACAGCATGACCCTGGGTATCAGTGGGTAGGGAATATGGGTGCAGGGCTATTGCCTTTGTGTGGTGCTGGCAACCTTCTCATGAGCATCCTGCTAGCCACTGTGGAAGCAGAATGCTGGACTATGTAGTCTTTCATTGAATTTCAGCACAGCTCTTCCTATGTTCAGTCTCTGATAACCCGATTCTCCCAGATGTTTACTTTCTTGGTAGTAGGACTAAAAGAACAATAGTGTGAGATATGAGCAAGAAAAGCCTATCACCCAAGAGGCTGGTTTATTATTTGGGATAAACGCATTAAATGCTCACGCATACATCCCATGCAATCCAAGAAAATTAAAAGCCAAAAGGAAAACTGCTTCCAGCTGAGTGGATGTTCAGGATAGCATTCAAATTGGGTCTTGGGATTTCTTACTGTGTTTTTGTGTGTTGTCTGTTTATATTTTTAGATGTGCAATAGGCAATATTGTATTTTCAAATTTTTAATCTTGGTAAATCACCCAGAGAGTTTGGGTTATTAGGCTGTCTAGAAATGTAATAAACGAAAAGAAAGAGGGATGGATGAACCTGTCAGCCTTGATTTTGCCCAAGTTTTCATTTTTCCATTAGTAAGTACAATTTAGCCCATATTTTTGTTTGCACTGTCTCAAAGGTAAGCATTTGTTCAGTGAAGTGGATTGCAAACTTTGAGAGAAGTATGGATTTCATCATCTAATTGTAATCTGGCACGTGCTTAGGAGTGAATTTGGTAAGCTGACATTGAAATGCAAACTGAATAAGCTGCATCCAGCCCTGGTCTTCAGTCATACAGGCAGTTGTTTAAACTGCCTATCACTTACCCGTGGCTAGTGATCAGTAGGATGGGCAAAAGTCTAAGGCCTCCCAACTACCCCAACTAACCTGGAATCTCAGGCCTGGGGACAAATTTGGCCAAATAAGGGGCCAAAAGTGCCCCCCGGAATTTCTCCACATGGTCTTACCCCATTCGGTCCCCCCCGCCCCCGTTTCTCCAAACATCAACCATTTGATTGTTTTCTGGTGTTGTGAATTCCCCACATTATTCTAAAAGGAGGAAATGTTTCTTCAAAGGCACTGGCTGCAAGAATGAGCTGGCCCCACTCCTTTGGTCTGCACCCCCCTGCATACAATAAAATGGGGTCTCCAAGAGGGTGGAATGGCAGATGTGGCAAACCAACCTGGCTTTAGCATCTGGGACAGCTTTGGCCCAAATCTGCAAGCAGTTGTAAGCAAGAAATAGAAAAATATAGAACATAGAAACAGAGAGAGTCAGAAAGGGCCTCCTGGGTCAACTAGTCTGACCCCCAGCTCTGGCCAGCTCCACTCATGACATGCCTACCATGTGCATGTCCAGCCTATCCTTGAACACCCTCAACAATGTGGCTTCCACCACCTCCCCGGGGAAGTCCGTTCCATATCTAGGGGTCCTAACTATCAGGAAGTACTTCCTGGCATCCAAATCGAACCTTGGTTCCCTGAGCTTTGCTGCATCGGAATGCGTTCTGCCCTCCCACCACAGGGGGAAATAGGTCTTTACCCACCTCTGCATGACACCCCTTATATATATGTCACTAACAGATCTCCTTGGAGTCTCCTCTTCTCCAGGCTGAAAAGCCCCAGTTCCCTCAGTCTTGCCTCATATGGCTTTCCCTGCAATTCGGCCACCACCCTTGTGGCCCTACACTGCACCAATTCCAACTTGGCTATAGCTCTCCTGTAATATGGGACCCAGAACTGAACACAGTACTCCAGTTGTGGGTGCACCTGAGTCATATAGAGTGGCAGTTCTGGCCACGTATCCAAGGGTGGCGTTCGCCCTCTTGACTGCTGCATCACACTGCTGGCTCATGTTTAGCCTGGCACGGGGGATGGTGCAATGCTGTATTACTACACAGAGGAAGTAATGAACCACGGCTGCCCAACCCTTACCCTTCACTACTCCCACCACAAGACAGGGATATCTAGGGTCCAAGTTTATGTAGCTGCACCACTGCTTGCGACAATCTAGAGCTAAGGGCAGCCATTCCTGATCTGAAAACCAAAGACTCTTCCTCTTTGGCTGTTGTTGCAATGTGCAGTTCAATGAACACAGCTTTTCTTAGCCCTCTGACAAAGATCCTGCATGAACTTTGAACATATCCTTTGCTGTATTTGTATAGTAATCCAGGAAACAGGCTAGTGGGATTGAGGTGGCTCTTCAGTGGAAGGCCCATGGATGACCTATCCTTGCAAAGGCAGCTTGAAACACATTACAGGGAGTTCTCACAAGTAGTACCTTAATTCATCTCTCCACTTGCACATGCATTTTAGAGGAAGACAAGCCCAGGTTTCTCCTGATAGGAAGAGACATATTTTATGATAACTTGAAGGCATCTAGGAATGCCAGGAAATAGCAGCAAGCAGTGAGCAGCAGCCAACTGCAACCTCACCCTGTGGGGCTCTCCACTAGATCCTATTCCCTTGGGACAGTCACTCTTCCATCAGGGGATCAGACTTGGAACCATTTTGGGTCTTTGTTCTTGAACCCAGGAAACTCAGGAGCTCCAGCTCATCATGAGGAGGGACACTTGAGCCCTGGTTCCCCACCAAATCATGACCAGAAACATTCATGTTCTCTGATGGGATCATGGATACCCTTGAAACCCTGTCAACCCTCTTCCTCCTCTTCTGCATTCTCTGCTGTTTCTCAATCCATGCTTCCTTTTTGCACCCCAAGCCTTGTTTGTTTGGTTACACATTGTTCATTTCATTTTTATGCTTCCCAATAGCCAGAGCTCTCTGGGAAGTTTGCAGAAGATTAAAACCTTAAAATGTCATAGAAAACATAAAATGAAAATTGTTGATATCAAAAAACAATAAAAATCTTAGGACCAGTTATATGCTGCCAAATGATGGGGAAGGGTTCAATCTGACACCAAAAGGATGACAATGCTGGTATCAGACAGACCTCACTGGGAAGAGTATCCCATTATTGGAGGGCCACCGCTGAAAAGGGCTTCTTCCCTGTACAGGTATTTCTGGGGCACCAGCAAAGCTGGTAGAAGGGACTTTGTAACACTGAGGCCACCTGAACCTCCAGAGAGAAAGGAAGAGGAATCCAGAAGTCACTCCTTATCCAATCTAGCGGTGCTTAATTATAGCCTCCTAGTGGGGGGCAGAAAGATAAATTGTACCTCTTTCTCTCAAGCTTACCACGGGGCCTTTAGTAAGAGAAGTAGCTTGGTCCACGCTGACAACAACTTAACAGAAAATGGAGTTTAACATAGATGGCTCAATACAGTAGATTATCCTAACTCTTTGTGTCATGGCACATCTCCTCCTGCATGTTGATGCTTTCCTGTCAATGTAGCCGTGACTATTAAGAATCATCCTGAATGGAAAGAAGGCCAGGACAGACTCTCCTCATCCCACAGAGCCCTATTATTTCTGATCCACCACAGCAGAGACTTAGCTTTAGGATCTGTCCCTCTGTGCACTGAGGGTATATGCACAAATTGTATTTCTCATTCAAAACATGCTTTTCAGCAGGCCCTGTCTTGAGTATTGGCGGTCTGATATTAGCCTTTACAAAGAAAAGGCAATGATGAATCTTTTCAGGGAAGGACTAATCATATAATGTTCTGTCTCCTCCTGCCAATGGCACAAGTTATCAGACGTTGAATCCAAGTGGTACAATATATTTCACTCCAAAGATTCTGGGTAGGAAGCTGGGGTCACCCTGCAAGTCAAGCCACCCCGAGGCTTGTTGCAAAGGGGGCGGCATAAAAATGCTTTAAATAATAAATAAATAAATAATCGGTGACCTCAGGCAATAAGAGTGAGAAAGAAAATCCTCAATGGGGGAGTCCAGGAGTTCACAAGGAGTTCAGGAAGGCATCCTCACAGCCCTGCTGCAGATGTGCCCATGAGGCATGAAAGCTCAAGAGGTGGGGAATGGTGGGGAATGGAGGGACAGATTTCTCTTGGTCACAGCA